AAGAGTCCCTCCTCACCAGATCCTAGCTTCTTTCTGCCACTGGACACCTTCAGGGAAGATGTTTACCTGAATAGCCTCTCAAGCCACTTACTGACTCAAAATAGTATGACTTGAATGCTTGAACTGCTTAGTGTAGGTTTTGGTACAGTTGTATGTGTCATATCGTATATTTTTCTTCAGAGTAGTTACTTTCAGAATACACATTTTCACATCTTAATTCCCCTCCAAGAATGTGGGATCAATGATTTTTCACTTCTTGATCCTTTGTATTGTTGTTATGTACCATCAAATTGCCTGCAATTCATAGTGACCCCTATGTACAACAGCTCTGAAGCCTGTCCTGTGTGGAGCCAATCTCACTGACTGACCCACCTACCCCCTTACCCTGGTTATTGTGTCAGTCCATCTCATCCATAGTACTCCTCTCCTGCACCATCCCTCCAGCCCCTAAACATGATGTCCTTTTCTCCCCCTTCCGCTGCCATGTGCCCAAAGTATTTGAGACAGAGCTCTCTTATCAAATCCTTGCCTTCAAGGAGAAACTTGGGATTCACCCTCTCCAAGACAGACCCTTTATATTAGTGCTATGATACTTAACACCATATTCATTTTCATTAAACCATTACTAAAACCCAAAAACAACCCAAAGGATATTTTTCCTTGGTGTTTACTACAAAATTATATTGTGCACCACAGAGTCGGAACCAACCCATAGCTGACCCTGTGGGTTTTCAGAGGCAGTGAATTGAAAAAGGAGGAGCTTGCTCATCCTTCTTCTGCAGCTGGTGGCATTGAACCATGTGCCCTCAAGATTGCAGTGTAGCTTCTTACCACTAGACCACCAGAGCTCCCCATTTATAATGTTTATATACTAGCTGTATATAAACATTTTTTAATGTTTATATATAAGTCCTGGTTGAAATCCTTATATTCCCCTCTAATAATTAGAAATACTTTTTCTAAAGAAGTTATTTATCTCAAACTTTTATAGTTTAAGCCTTTATGTGGATTTAGCAGGGGTTATTTTTATATTTCTGTATTAGTCATATCTAAGACAGTTGTAAGTGAAAGACTATTAATAACTCGATTAACTCATTGTTATTGCTTCAGCACCGACTCATAGCTGCTGCTCCATTAGTTTTTAGAGGGTGAAAATTGCATGCCCATCATTATCCCATAGACAGCTGGTGGATTCGAACCATCAGAGGAAGTAGGCCACAAGAGCTCCCAAAGATCATTCCTAGAGTTTGAGGCTTACCCTGACCTTTTGATTCCTGTGTTTCCAGCTGTTTATCTTTTATTCTTAAGGGTAACCAGTTGCTGTTGTGTAATTTCTGAGTTAATGCTGACCCTATGTGCATTGAAATAGAACTGTGCCCACATGGCTTGTAGTGGCTAATTTTTCTGAATGACACCAAGTCTGACTCAGACCTTTCAGTTGGCAGCAGAGTACCCCACTCAGGGATTTTGCAGAGGACACTTATTACTGGTAAGGAGAGGAAAGGGAGGATTCACAAATTAAGTTCAAAAGAAGACTGAAGTATTGGCCAACTAACTGGAAGAGATCTCTATTTGTTCTCATTCCAAGAAAAGTGACCTGACAGAGTGTGGAAATTATTGAACAATATTAATATCACATGCAAGCAAAATTGTGCTGAACGTTATCCAAAAACCACTGGAACAGAGAATTGCCAGAAGTCCAGGCTGGGTTTAGAAGAGGCCATGGTACTAGGGATATTGTACCTAATGTTAGGTGGTCCTTGACTGAAAGTAGAGAGTACTGGAGAAATGTCTATCTGTGTTCCATTGACTATGCAAAGGCATTTGATTATGTGGATCACAACAAACTATGGCTAACTCTGAGAAGAATGGGAGTCCCAGAACTCTTGATCATGCTTATGCGAAACCTATACTTGGACCAGGAGACAGTCGTCAGAACAGAGCATGGAAACACTGCATGGTTCAAAATTGGGAAGTGTGTACACCAGATCTGTATGAACAGATTATCTGGGAGGCTGGGCTGTATGAGGAGGAATGTGGCATCAGGATTGGAGGAGGACTCTGCAACAATCTGTGTTATGCAGATGACGCAACCCTGTTTGCTGAAACTGAGGAGAACCTGAAGCACTTGCTGCAGAAGTTCAAGGAGAGCAGCCTTCAATATGGATTGAAGCTCAACATCAAGAAAACAGATTCTCACCACTGAGCCAATTGGCAGTATAATGATAGTTGAAGAGATTGAAATTGTTAACAGCTTCAGTTTGCCTGGATCCACAATCATCAGTCTTGGTACCAGCAGCCAGGAAATTAGAAAATGAATTGCACAACTGTCTCCAAAGTACTGAAGAGCAACAATGTGTCTAGAGACTAAAGTGGGCCTGATCAAGGCAATAGTCTTTGCAATTATTTGCTATGCATATGAAAGCTGGACATTGACTAGGGATGATAGAAGGAGAGTTGATGCCTTTGAGCTGTGGTGCTGGAGAAGAGTATTGAATATATTATAGACTGCTAGGAGAATAAACAGGTTCATCCTAGAGAGGGTGAGACCAGGCTGCTCCTTGATGTCAAGGATTCTGAAGCTTTGTCTGACATACTTTGGACATGTTGCAAGGAGAGACCAGTCCTTGGAGAGGGATGTCATGCTTGGAAGGGTGAAGGGACAGTGCAAGAGAGGAAGAACTTCAACGAGATGGATTGATTCAGTGACTGGGGTAGTGGGGATAGGTGTGTCAGAGACAGTAAGTTTGGCACAGGAGATAGAGCAGGGTTTAGGGCTGTGGTATATAGGGTCACTATGAGTCACAGGCAACTTGACGGCACATAACAACAACAGTTTTCAAAATTCCCCAGCCTTTGACATAACCATGCAGTGATCATAGGGCTAAAGATGAGAATGGTGAGGTGTGGTAATGATGCAACGATTCTAAAGCTCTGTCTGACATACTTTGGGCATGTTGCAAGGAAGGACCAGTCCTTAGATAGGGAAAGTGGAGGGACAGCACAGGAAAGGAAGACCCTGGATGAGATGGATTGATTCAGAGACTGGGGTAATGGATCTAGGTGTGTCAGAGACAATAAGGTTGACTTAAGATAGAGCAGGATTCAGAGCTGTTGTATTAGGGTCCTTATGAGTCAGAGTTGACACAACGACACATAATAACAACAATAATAGTGCCATATATACTAAATATTTGATATGTATTATTTGACCATCATTTAATCCTTGGAAGTGGGTATTTTTATCCCTATATAATCAGAGTAAATTAAATGCAGAAAGGTAAAAATCCCTTATTCTGCATCACAATACTAGTTTTCAGTACTCTTCCAAACTATTTTAAAATTCTGAAATACTAGGGTTTTTATTGGTTGTAATACAGTTATTTCAGTATTTCAAAGAATGAAATCTGTTTATTTTGTGTCTTTAAATATACATGGAGCTAGATGCTACATTAATATCTTAATACTGTCAAAGGTAATGCCAACTTTACTCATTTGTAATTTACCAGTTTTTATACCAATATTTTCATTATTGTACACTAGAAACTAAAATGCTGAGATGGGAATTTTCCCTCTATTATTCAGTAATAAGGGGTAAAGCTAGTTTACAAGTGCAGAGTCGGGAAGGCACATGGATACAATGAGTGCCATCTTCAGGTTTTTGATAGTAGTCTTTAGAGAGGTGAAAGTACATCAGTACACCGCTTCCTTCCTTAACGACATGTTGCATGATAACAATGTCTGCTAAATCAAGAAGTTTGTGTGATGGTGCCAACTGACTGATCAGTCCTTAAACATCACTGGTCCACAGAGCACATTTTGAGTAGCACAACATTAAGCTCCAATGTCTCTGTGAAGAATTCATTTAATTTAAACAAAATATGCATAGGGTCGCTATGAGTCGGAAACGACTCGATGGCACATAACAACAACAACAACAACATATTTTTGTTAGTTCATTGCCAAAGTAAAGGAAACCAGTACGTGTGGGCTGCACAGTTTGTACATGAACTCACCTTTTTTATGTCACCATAAAGGTACTAAAGTAGTCCTGGTGGCATAGTGGTCAGGTGCCTTCCTGCTGAACAGTCAGTGTTTGAGCCTGTCATTACTCTGTGGGTCCAAGATGTGACAGTCTGCATCTGTAAAGATTTACAGCTTACGAAAACACATAGGCAGTTCTGCCCTCTCCCAGAACACTTGATGGCAGCAGGTTTGGCTTAGAAGAGGTACTTCATGTAATGCTAAGCATATAGTTTAATGCTCTGTATTAAGCAGTATATACGTTAAAAATATTAGCAATTTGTTACTGCTTTCTGTTGATAATTTTAGCAAGGTGAGGAGAGGTATATATTTAAAATAGTCATTATAATGATTGAACACACTCAGGGGATATGGCGACATTTAATAATCTTCACTGAAGGATTAATGATCTGGAAGAGAGCCAGATGATAAAATTCTGTCATATAGAAAGAATACATCTCCAGGGAGATAGTGCTAAGGCAGCCTAAAAAGAAAAACAAAAAAAGGAGATGAGGTAGTAAACAGTTTAAATATAATATGTATGAAGCTACTGCATACAAATCATTTCTGGAAGGTTATTTATACTGTTAAGAAACAGTAATTTTGTGTTAAGCTGGACAGATCAATTTGGAATCTTGGGTAAAAAGATACTCTTAAAATATAAATCAAATCTGTTTTAATTTCTATTATATTCCTAAGATATTTTTGAAATGAAAACACTTGAGAGACAAGAGATATGTTTTGTTCTACTTAACCAAAACCATATCAGAATCAGTAAGTCGCCCTACTCTTTGTAATTGATATATCTGGTGAATTGATAATCACTTCAGTTGCAAAAGAAGAAGTACAGAAAAAAGCATTGAAAAGAAATGAAGATGTAGACAAACTACTTACCCTGCCACAGAATGAAAGTTTAAGTTTAGTTGATGAATGTGAAAGATGACATTTTAATTTTGAAATATTCTGTGTGCTCTTAGGTTTTGCAGAAGAAGCAACAAGACAGTAAGAAATTGGCATCACTGTCGATCCAAAATGAGAAGTATGCCAATGAGCTGGAGCAGAATGTAGACCACATGAAATCTCAAAAGGCACAGCTGCAGAGAAGAGTAGGCGAAGAAAATGAAAAAAGGAAGCAACTGGATGCAGAAATTAAGCAGGATCAACAGAAAATCAAAGTAATACTGTCCTACTTCCCTGCTCAGCATAACATGAAGTGTTAAATGGCATGGAGCTGGTGATGCCAAGGTCTTGACTTTTGAGCCCTGGCCTATTCTTGTTTATCTACAGAGTAAAACCTGTTTGCTGAATTCTGAGTACTGTCATGAGGGCTTTAACTTCACAAAAGAAGATTCAATAATACAATTTAGTTGAGAGTGTCAAAAAAGAAATACACATATATAGCAGAATTTCAGTGATAATCAATATTTTAGTGAGATTTCCAGTTTAAAATGTTTTGATAGGGAAGGGTAAAATAGTGAGGCATATTTAGTATTATGAGGCTGTAGTAAGGCTGAAATAGGACCATTTCATTCCTGGTTAGCAGGAGCACATCAGACCACTGTGTATGCGCTGTAGTGCACAGTCGGCGGGGGAGGTCCACCACAGGGGCCCGCTGACAGGAAGGTCCCCAGTACCCACACGTTATGATGCACAGCTGCCTGGGAGGCCCTGTGCACTCGCATTCTGGTTCACATCCAGCGGGGAGGCCCCCGGGTACTCGAGTTATAGCGCACAGCCGGCAGGGAGACCCTGTGCACCCCACCCCCACGCCGTTCTGGTGCGCAGCCAGTGGGAGGCCTTGTGCACTTGCATTCTGACGCACATACTGTGGATAGACACCTCTCCGTTCCCACCACCGTGTGCTGACTAACCTGGTCACTTACTGAAAAAACTATTTACCTTTTCAGTTTGCTTATTTTTCCTTCCAAATTTTATTTGTTGTTTTTGTTGAGAATATACACAGCAAAACAAAGACCAATTCAACAATTTCGGTCTATATAATTGAGTGACATGATTACATTCTTTGCCTTGTGTAGCCATTCTCATTATCTTTTTCTGAGTTCTTTCCTCATAAATTCTGTAATCTTTAAGTGCAGTTGTTCATTTTATTCCATTTAATCAAGCTAGACATTTTTTATTCAAGCTAAAACCTCACTACTGGAAGTGACTCATGGCTGACCCTCCATTGGATTGCCATGGCTGTTAATGACACAGGATTAGATTGTCCATTCTTGAAGCTGCTCATGGATTCAAACTGCCAGGGAAGTGTGGCTTCTGGGTTAGCAGCATGAGGTCCTTCAGACTATGCTACCAAAGCTCCCTACATATTTAATTTCTTAAGATGAACTGCTGTTTAATTTTAAAATGACTTTAGGAGATCACTCTTTGACACTGCTGTTTATTCATGTGTAATTAGCTATGAACCACTAAGTCCTAGCGTTTATAGCTTCCTGATACCTTGAATCTAATTATAATTTCTGCTAGTCTCCTTTGACAGTTTGTCCTTTAGTATAAAGCTCATGCTACCCCATGACAACTGCCACAGGCACAGTAATAGTATGCTTAAGGAAAACAGTGACAAATTATCTTGTTTTAAGGGTGCCTGTTGTTTTTAGGAACTGTCAAGTACGACCCATAGTGACCTTACAAACAACAGCTCTAAACCCTGTCCTAACCTGTGCCATCCTCATGTTTCCTGAGACACTAGAGCCTATTGCAACAGTCACTATGTCAGTCTACCTGGTTGAGGATCTTCCTCTCCTTTGCCGACCCTCTGCCTTTCTGAGCATCATATCTTTCTCCTAGGAATAACTCCTCCTAGTAACATGCTCAAAATGTGTAAGGCTAGGCTTTATCATCTTTTCCTCCGAAGAGCACTCTGGCTGCACTTTGTAAGACATACTTGTTTGTTCTTTTGGCAGTCCATTGGATGTTCAGTATTTTCTAACACCACAGCTCAAAGGCATCAATTCTTCTGTCATCATTACTCAGTGTCCAGCTCTCAAATATATAGAAAGTTATCAGAAAGACCATGTTGTTGTTGTTGTTATGTGCCGTCGAGTCGCTTGCGACTCATAGCGACCCTATGTACAACAGCCTTAAACTCTGTCCTGTGCCAATCGCACTGTCTCTGGTACTCCCATCCTGATTATCCCAGTCACTGAATCAGTCCACCTCATAGAGGGCCTTCCACTCCTGCGTTGTCCCTCCACCCTCCCAAGCATGATGTCCTTCTCCAAGGACCTGTCTCTCCTCACAACATGTCCAAAGTATGTTAGACGGAGCCTCAAAATCCTTGCCTCCAAGGAGCCACCCGGTTTAACCCTTTCCAGGACGAATCTGTTTTCCTAGCAGTCCCTGGTATTCTCAATACTCTTCTCCAGCACCACAGCTCAAAGGCATCAATTCTCCTTCTATCCTCCTTGGTCATTGTCCAACTCTCTGATGCATAACAAGTGATTGCAAAGACCACGGCCTGTATCAAACACACCTTAGTCTCCAGAGAGACACCATGGCTCTTCAGTACTTTGGAGAGGTCCCTAACAGCAGACTTTCCCATCGCAAAGCACCTTTTAATTTCCTGGCTACTGGTGCCAAGAATGTTGACTATGGAGCCAAGCAAACTAAACCTGTGAACAATCTCAGTCTCTTCACCATCCATCCTGATGCTGCCAATTGGTCCAGTGGTGAGAATCTTTGTCTTCTTGACATTGAGCCTCAATCCATATTGGAGGCTGCAGTCTTTGACCCTCTGCAGCAGGTGCTTCAGGTCCTCCTCAGTTTCAGCAAGCAGGGTTATGTCATCTGCATAACGCAGATTGTTGATAGATCTTCCACCAATCCTGCTGCCACATTTCTCCTCATAGAGTCCAGCCTCCCTGATAATCTGTTCTGCATATAGGTTGAAAAGGTATGGAGATAGGATGCATCCCTGGTGTACACCCTTCCCAGTTTTGAACCATGCAGTGTTTCCTTGCTCTGTTCTCATGACTGCATCCTGGTCCAAGTATAGGTTTTGCATTAAAACAATCAAGTGTTCTGGGATTCCCATTCTTCTCAGAGTCAGCCACAGTTTGTTATGGTCCACATAGTCAAATGCCTTTGCATAGTCAATGAAACACAGATAGAAAGACCATAGCTTGAATCAAACACACCTTAGTCCTCAAACTGACATCATTACTCTCAATAATTTGGAGAGGTCCCTAACTGCAGATTTTCCCAATATAATTAAGTCTCCTAATTTCCCACCTTGTGGTACCAAGGATATTAATTGTGGATTCAAGTAAGATGAAGTTGTTGACAATTTTAATTTTTTCTCCATCTATCTTGATGTTGCCTATCTGTCCAGTGGTAAGATTTTTTTTTTTACATTGAGATGCAATCCATAGAGAAGTCTGTATTCTTTTATCTTCTGCAACAAGTACTTCAAGTCCTCCTCACTTTCAGCAGGCAAGGTTGTATCATCTGCATAATGCAAGTTATTGATGAGTCATCTTCTGATCTTGATGCCAGATTCCTTTTCACAGAGATCAGCTTCTTGAATAATTTGCTCAGCATACAGATTGAATAGTTATGGAGAGAGAATAAAACCCTGGCACACTCCCTTCTTAATTTAAATAATGTAGTGTTCTCTTGCTCTGTTTATACAACAGCCTCTTGGTCTAGTTATAGGTCTCACAAGAGCACAATTAAATGTTCAGGGATTCCCATTCTTCTCAATGTTAGCCATAACTTGTTATTATCCACATAGTCAAATGCCACATAGTCAAGAAAGCATAAATAGACATTCTTCTGGTATTCTTTACTTTCAGCTAGGATCCATCTTGCATCAAGATTGATATCCATGATGCCAGGGCCTCTTCTACATCCTGCTTGAACTTCTGACAGTTCCCTATCTCTGTACTGTTCTAGCCATTTTGTATGATTTTCAGATGATTTTCAGTAGTATTTTTCTTGCATCTGATATCGATGATATTGTTTGATAATTTCCAGATTCAGTTGGATCACCCATTCTTGGGAATGGGAACAAATATGGACCCCTTCCAATCCATTGGCCAGCAGCTGTCCTCCAAATTTCCTGGCATAGACTGGTGAGTGAATCCAAGGCTACATCTGTTAATTGAAACAAGTCAGTTGCTATCCCATCAATTCCTGGGGCCTTATTTTTTTGCCAATGACTTCAATCCAGCTTCAGCTTCCTTCATTACCATTGGCTCTAGCTCATATAGTACCTCTTAAAAGTTTTCAGTTCAGTCAGTTCTTTTTGGTACAGTTACTCTGTATATTCCCTCCATCTTCTTTTGATGCTTCCTGAGTCATTTAATATATTGCACATAGCATCTTTCAGTATTGTGACTCCAGACTTAAATTTGGGTGGGTGGGGTTTTTTTTGGTTGTTGTTGTTGTTGTTGTTTTTCAGTTCTCTTAGCTTGAGAAATGCAGAGCAGACTCTTCCCTTTTTATTCTCCAATTCCAGCTCTCTGCACATTCCATTATAATACTTGGCTTTGTGTTCTTGAGCTGACCTTTGAAATCTTCTGTTCAGCTCTTTTACTTTGGCATGTTTTCCTTTTATTTCTTGATGCGCTAGTGTAATTTTCAGAGTTTCTTCTAATATCCATTTTGGTTTTTTCTCTCTCTTCTTTGTAATGACTTTGTGCTCTCTTCTTGGATGATAGCCTTGATACCATTGCATAGCTCATCTATTCTTCAATCATTGGTGTTCAGTGCTTCAGATCTGTTCTTAAAATTATTTTGAAATTCAGGTGGAATAGATTCAAGATCATATTTTTTTTTCTCGTGGACTTGTTTTCATTTTCTTCGGCCTCAGTTTGAACTTGAACATGAGTAATTGATGGTCTGACCCACGACCACCCTGGCCTAGGTTTAACTGCTGATATTGAGCTTCTCCAATGATTCCTTTCATAGATGTAGTCAGTCTGATTCCTGTGCAGTCTATCATGTGGGGTCTATGTGTAACACAGTTCCTTCCCTCAAGTCCACTCCACTGTGCAGCCTTCATTATGGACTCCTGTCATGACAATAATAACTAATCATATATCCCTTTTAAACAGTTCTCTCACTCATCTGTTTCAATGCAGTATACATTATTTATCACCTCTTTCTTAGTCTCCTCTCAACCCCAATGTCACTCCCATTTTACAACAGTGGCTCTGTTCAATATTTATATAGGAGCAACTCTTAACTAAAGTACATGGTGGGCTTGTAAGAAGAGGTATGTGATCCACTGAAATTGTCAGGAATATTGGATCTTTTCCCTCCCTAAGCATCAGTTGTTTCTTATGTAAATTAGAATTTTTAATAATCCTGCTTTGTAGGGTTACTGTGAGGAATAAATGGATAATTAAAAGTTTAGCATCATGCCTTGTACATAGTCATTTTAGTAGTATAACAAGGATTACAATATGAGAAAAAAGTAATACTATTTGGAGCAACATGTAGAAAAGGGAATTTGATATCCTGGTGGATTATACTGTTTACAGTGTATGTGGAAGAATGGGAATAATATAGAGTCGTTCTGAGTATGTTGTTGTTGTTGTTAAGTGCTGTCAAGTTGCTTGGGACTCATAGCTATCCTATGTACAATAGCTCTGAACCTTTCTCTATCTTGAGCCAACCTCACTGTCTCTGACACATTTACCCCCATTATCCCAGTCACTGAGTCAATCCATCTCATCCAGGGTCTTCCTCTCTTGCACCATCAGCATGATGTCCTTCTCCAAGGACTGGTCCCTCCTTGCAACATGCCCAAAGTATGTGAGACGAAGCTTCAAAATCTTTACCTACAAGGAGCTTCCTTTTCTCACCCTTTCCAGGACATCCTTGTTTATTCTCTTAGCAGTCCATGGTATGTTCAATACTCTGCTCCAGCACCACAACACAAAGGCATCAGTCCTTCTGTCATCTTTAGTCATTGTCCAACTTTCTGATGCATAGCAAGTAAGTGCAAGGACCATGGCCTGGATCAGGTGCACCTTAATCTCTAGATAGGTATCATTGCTCTTCAGTAATTTGGAAAGGTCCCCAACAACAGATTTTCCCAGTGTAATCTTTTGATAGTCTGGCTGCTAATATCAAGAGTATTGATTATGGAACCAAGCAAGCTAAAGATGCTAACAATGTCAATCTCTTCTCTATCATGATGCTGCTAATTGGCCCAGTGGTGGTGAGAATCTTTTTTTCTCTCTTGTTGAGCTTTAATCCATATTGAAGATTGCAGTTCTTGACCTTCTGCAGCAAATGCCTCAGGTCCTCCTCATTTTCAGCAGTTATGGTGGTTTTATGTGCATAATGCAGGTTGTTGAGTAGAAGGCACCTTTCTGCTAAGTGAAGAAGTTCTGGAAGCCAAGTGTTTAGTCAGCTCAGCTTCTCACCTAAAGGAAAGTGGTTCACAAGCACCAGCTGTTCGTTGGGAGAGAGATGTGAAAATCTGCTTTTGTTAAAAAAAAAACACAACAAAGTCAACTACCATTGAGTCTGGTCTCAGTACAGTGACCCTGCACTGGGGCTCTGCAGTGAGTTGTGCTGCTAAACCAGTCTTTAAGACTCCATCAGCAATTCAACAGACAATAAGTGGACATTCTCTTTCTGTTAGCCTTTTATAGCCTTGAGAGTTGTTATATTCAGAACTAACTGAATAGCAATCAGTTTGAGTCTGATTAAGAATGCAAAGGAGATTAAAAAAGACACAACAACAAAAAAAACCACAACAGATCACTTTCCATCCTTGGGAATGGCAGAAAGGAGGAAAGATGTTTCATTTCTCTTCTCCCTAGGTTTTGGCCCAGAAAAGTATAAGTAAATGTATCAACAAGGCAAAGGAAGCCCTTGCCCCTGTCCCATGTTTGGGAGAGGGCAGAGACTGCTGTGCAGAGGTGCTGACAGCTCATGTACACAAGGTGTTGTCTTAGGCAGAAAAGGACAGGGAGAGAAGCTAAGACACTGAGAATTCTTATTTTAGAAACCTCAAGAATTACTTCAAGGCCTTGTTTAAATTATCACAGAAAGATGTGAACAGTTAGACATTTAGTTAGTTCCCACATTTCCAGCTGTGCTAGAATGGAGATAACAAGACAGTTCTGCTATAGATTAAATAAAGACACTTGTTTTGTCTGAGTTATTGTAATTCGGTTGAATCCTGTTGTGTTTGTCATTGTTGCTGTTGCCTGGTCCTGCATCATCCGCAAGGCCACTGGCATGCTTGCTCGCAGTCATAAGTGGCTACTGTGGATTGTGAGTGCTGATAGAAGTTCATCTTCCAGCACTCTATTGCCAACATTCTGTTGTGACCCACAGGGTTTAGATGTCTAATTTTTCAGAAGGAGGCCACTAGGCCTTTCCTTCTAATCTGACTTAGCCTAAAAGTTCTGCTGAAACTACTCCATCATGTATGACCCTGACAGTATTATATATTATTAATTTTATAGTTCAATGTGTAAAACAAAAAAAAAATAGAATTTCTGTATTCTCATGGGACAATGACTTAGTAGTCCCTGGACCTGTGCATTCTGATTCATAATCTCTATCTTCATCCTGTGAGGCTTTAATGGAAGACAGAGGCATGAGCTCTGTTCCCTGAGGAGGCACTGTGAGCACTGGGCCATGAGGTGAAGGAATCTGGAAAGCACTTCTGATGGTCCATGATCTGTCTTGAAAAATTCCATTTTTGACTGCTAGAAATAGAAAATTCATTTTGCACATCTACTGCAGTAAATTCTAATAACCTAAGACAGATGAGTTAAACTCAGAAAGGCAGAAGATAAAAACATACTTATGTCAGAAGAGACTCTGAATATTGCACTAGAGCACTGAGAAGCCAAAGCAGAGGGAAGAATTAAGAGCTAAACATAACATTTCAAAAGGCAGCACAGGAAGACAAAGTAAAATATTACAATGAAATGTGCAAGGAGCTGGAGTCAGAAAATCAGAAGGGCTGAACTCAATCAGCATTTCCTAAGCTCAAGGAACTGAAGAACAAATTCAAACCTCGAGTTGCTATACGTAGGGATGCTTTGTCAGAATATTAAATGATCCAGGAAGTATTAAAAGAAGATGGAAAGAGTATACAGAGTCATTGTACCGAAAGAAATTGGCAGACACAGAAGAATTTCATGAAACAACATATGAGCAAGAGCCTATGTTGATGAAGGAAAAAGTTCAAGCTGCTTTGAAGGAATTGGCAAAAAAATAAGGCTGCAGGAATTGATGGTATACTAACCAATGTATTCCAACTAACAGATGCTGCCCTAGATGTGCTCAACAAGTTGTGTCAAGAAATCTGGAGAACAACTACTGGCCAACTGACTGGAAGAGATCTATATTTGTTCCCATTCCAAAGAAGGGTGACCCAACAGAGTATGGATATTATAAAACAGTATCATTGATATCACATGTACTTATTTTTTAGTTTCCTTAATTCAAGGAAATACTAAGTTGTCTTGGAGATCTCTAGCTCTATTTATTGTATAATTATTTTATATTTATAAGCAACATAGCAAACTGTATTTTCATGGTTCTGCTGCAGATTATCCAAAAACAACTGGAAGAGCACATCAAGAGAGAACTGCCAGAAATGCAGGCTGGGTTTAGAAGGGGTCATGGTACTAGGGATACTGTAACGAATGTTAGATGGATCTTGGCTGAAGTGGGGATTACCAGAGGAATGTCTGTGTTTCATTGATTATGCAAAGACGTTTGACTGTGTGTATCACAACAAACTGGCTGAATCTGAGAAGAATGGGAATCCCAGAACACTTGATTGAGCTAATGCGAAACCTATACTTGGACTAGGAGGCAGTCATCAGAACAGAGCAAAAAAACACTGCATGGTTCAAAATTGGGAAGGGTGTACATCAGGGGTGTGTCCTATCTCCATACTTTTACAACCTATATGCAGAACAGATTATCTAGGAGGCTGGGTTGTATGAAGAGAAGTGTGGCATCATGATTGGTGGAAGATTCATCAACAATCTGAATTGTGCAGATGACACAACCCTGCTTGCTGAAACTGAGGAGGACCTGAAGTGCTTGATGTATGGATTGAGACTCAATATCAAGAAGACAAAGATTCTCACCACTGGGCCAATTGGCAGCATCAGGATGGATGGTGAAGAGATTGAGATTGTTAACAGCTTTAGTTTGCTTGGCTCCATGGTCAACACTTTTGGCACCAGCAGCCAGGAAATGAAAAGACGTATTGCGATGGGAAAGTCTGCTGTTAGGGACCTCTCCAAAGTACTGAAGAGCATTGGTGTCACTCTGGAGACTTAAGATGTGCCTGATCTAGGCCACAGTCTTTGAAATCACTTGCTATGCATCAGAGATTTGGACAGTGATTGGGTATGACAGAAGGAGAATTGATGCCTTTGAACTGTGGTGTTGGAGAAGAGTAGTGAATATGGACTGCTAAGAAAATGAACAAGGTTCATACTAGAGAGGATTAAACCAGGCTGTTCCTTGGAGGCAAGGATTCTGAAGCTTCGTCTGACATACTTTGGACCTGTTGCAAGGAAGGACCCGTCCTTGGAGAAGGATGTCATACTTGGGAGAGTGGGACAGCACAGGAGAGGAAGACCCTCTATGAGGTGGATTGATTCAGTGACTGGGGTAATCAAGGTGGGTGTGTCGGAGACAGTGAGGTTGGCACAGGATAGAGCAGGGTTTAGGGATGTTGTACATAGGGTCGCTATGATTCGCAGGCAACTCAATGGCACACAACAACAAGGTTTTCATATTATCCCTTCTGTGCTCACTTGTAACACTGACTAAAAGCATAGATTTTTTAGTAAACACTAATTTTTTGTCATTTGAAATTATAGCTCCCAATGATGTGCTAATGTTTTAGTTTTTCCTCTTCAAATAACTAACATTCATAAACCAAAATTCACTCTTTGGGCAATTAAGAAAATAAATATAGACAAAAAAAGATAACCAGGTTTATTACACTTCAATAAAAAATGATACTGTATGAATATATAATGATGGGAAGGTAGTACGGCAATAGGTGGGTTTTATTTCTTTTTCTACAGGAACTACAGTCAAAAACAGCACACCAAGAAGTTCTGAAACTGGAAGCTGAGGACTTTGGTGAATATAGTATGAGGAGAAAAGGATTGTTTGGAAGTACAGATCAGCTTCAGGTCTGTTAATTCTATTTAATGTTTTATGGTGGTTTGGTTTGGGGTTAATTTGAATATTATATAAATAGAATTTTTTAAAATATTTAATCAAACCTTCAAAACTAGACTTTTTGGGGGATATTGCTTCTGTTTTTAAATAAATGTAGAATAAGTATTTCAGGCTTCCTCATTTGAATGTGATCATAGTACCATATGATCTAGGTCTGAATGGAAGATGATATGACTATGGATCTCTTCTGGCCTTGACCGTGTTGCTTCTTTTTCTTGTGACATATTCACTATGCTACTGCCTTACTACAGTGTTGTAGAAACTTGTTTTATTGAGTTTGTGAGGATGTGAAAAAGAATGACCATGCTGATTTGTTTTTCTGTTATTTGTTGTTTTGGTGGCATTATGGTACATATATGCTAAATAACATTCATCTTGGACATTTTATTCATTTTGTACTTATTTTTTAGTGTCCTTAATTCAAGGAAATACTAAGTTGTCTTGGAGATCTCTAGCTCTATTTATTGTATAATTATTTGATATTTATAAGCAACATAGCAAACTATTTTCATGATTCACCTTTGATTCATTCATCTTTCATTGTGTGTATTCATTTATTTACTTCACTGATTGCATCACGTATTCATTCAGTCATTCATTTAACATTTTATGGATTACCAGCCATGGGGCCAGACATATGCACTGGAGACAGACACTTGGCATTGGAGATAAATAGATGAAAAGCACAGCCTCTGAAACTCATCAGGTCAAGAAATTCAAGGGCAGGAGATGGACCAGGAGAGCAATCAGCACAGGCTGTGATGGGGAGCTGCGCCTCCACAGAGAAGAACCTCTCTAGCATAATCTGAGGACCAACTCTTCCTATATGTTTAAACCCCCCAAAACTTGTCAGCTGTTTCTTTGTCAGGGTGGAAAAATTGCCAGGCCCTTTAATGTATCTGAGAGTAAATTTTAATTCTTGAAAAACACTGAAACATGGTAACTGAAACCACTCACTTCTGGAGAGTTGCATACAGGGACACTGATTTCTTGTTCTCATTGATAGTTTTTAAATGTTTCCAACAATCTTAAATTATATTACTATCATACCTATTTTATGACAGAATAAAAAGCAAATTATTATATTTCTTTGGCATTTCAATGTAGAAATTGGATGAGAAAAAGAAATGGTTAGATGAAGAAGTCGAGAAAGTTCTAAACCAGCGCCAAAAATTAGAGGCGCTAAAGGAAGACCTGCAGAAACGGGAGGCCATAGTTTCCAAGAAGGAGACCCTGTTACAGGAGAAGAGCCACCTGGAAGAAAAGAAGCTGCGCTCTAGTCAGGTACTCTACTTAGTAGAGGTTTATGGTGTAAGCCATAGAAACTGAGATTTTATGTTCTCTAAGATGTAATCAAACCTGCAAAATTAGAACCAAAAGAAATCCAAAGGAAACTCTTCTAGTTTTGCATGGATTCTCCCTCCCCTTATTAAATCTCATTAAATGATTCACCATTTCATTACTAAAACTTACGATAATTCTGAAGTTGAATGAGCAGGGTTTTACTAGGTTTGATTTATTAACTTTTTTTTTAAGCATAGACAGTATTTTCTTCTCTTGTGGGTCATTATGAGTTGAAATAAACTGGATGATAACAAAATTGGTTTATTTAGCTATCCTTACCCTTAAGATAATCAGAAACGGTTACTATAGAGAGTGAGGAAGAAAATATCTTTATAGTTGTTTTGTATGAATCTAACTTTAAAAATCAAGTTGGTCTCCTGTATCCTAGAACAATTCAGGAAGGAGAGCCAAGAATAGGAGGAGAATATGAGATGAATGATTACTTTCATTAACAACTGCCTCCTTTGTCATGAGACCAGAAGAATAGGATGGTGTCAAACCACCATTATTGAACATTTTGATCAAAGGTTCTACAGAAGAATCCTACAAGGGAGAAAACATAAACTAGAGTTAGAACATGTATGCAAGAAGTAGAAATTCTCGTGGGTTTCAAACTTTCTGGAACCAGGAAAGTTGAATAACCACTGAAAGTGTTACCTTGAAATAATTCTTAAGTCCTAACCAAAAATATCCTATTAACTTCTTGTTATCTCCAGCAAACTGAAAATCTAAACTTTTTTTCAAAAAGAGTCAGTCTTGAAACTACACTGCTGGTTCCCCATGCTGGAAAATTACCGGGTGGCTCCTGATTCTGAGGCTCCGTCTAACTTACTTCGGACATGTAGTGAGGAGAGACCGGTCCTTGGAGAGGGACATCATGCTTGGGAGGGTAGAGGGACGGCGCAGGAGAGGAAGGCCCTCTATGAGGTGGATTGATTCAGTGACTGGGATAATTGGGATGGGAGTATCAGAGACAGTGCGATTGGCACAGGACAGAGCAGAGTTTAGGGCTGTTGTACATAGGGTCGCTATGAGTCGCAGGCGACTCGACGGCACATAACAACAACAACAACATAGTAAAAGTATATTATGACATTTGCTGTCATCTTTTTACCATCTTTAAAGCATATGTTTAATGAATTGTATGTTTTGATGCTTTACATAAAGTGAGCATGTTAATGTGGAAAAGTAGACTTGAAAAATATCAAACCATTATTATTATTCAAAATGAGCAGCTTGCAGAGGTCATATGAAAGAAAGATTTTGTGTGATAAATTTTTAAAAAATTTTCAGTGCATTATTAGTGAAATATTTTGGGTGCATTAAAAATGTTTTCCGGAAATCTTAAATTTTAGAAACCAGTCAAAGAATGGTCATGAAGATGTTTGCCTTGATTGATGGTATTAAAACAGGAATAACTATGTAGGATGTAGAAGGACCACGAAGTATCAGATAGATGATAGATAGGTAGATAGATAGATAGATAGATAGATAGATAGATAGATAGATAGATAGATGATAGATAGATATAGATGTTATTAGGTGCCATCAAGTCCAGTATGATTCATACTAATTCTGTGAACAACAGAGCTGGATCCTGTCCTACCCTATGCCATCTTCACAATCTCTGATACACTTGAGCCCGTTGCTATAGTTACCATATCAGTCCATCTTGTTGGGGGTCTTCCTATCTTTCCCTGACCCTCCACCTTTCCAAGCATGATATAATTTTCCAGGAAATAGCATCTCCTAGCAACATGTCCAAAGGATGAGAGATGAAGCTTTGCCATCCTTGCCTTGAAGGAGCACTCTGGCTGCACCTTTTCCAAGACATACCTGTTCATTCTTTTGGCAGTCCATGAGATATTCAATACTCTTCTACACTACCATGGTACAAAGGCATCAGTTCTTCTTCTGTAATACTTATTAATTGTACAGTTCTCAAATGTATTAGAAGTGATTCAAAAGATCATCGCCTAAATCAGGCGTACCTTAGTATTAAAACAGATATCATTGCTCTGCAGTATTTTGGAGAGGTCCTTGACAGTGGACTTTCCCAGTGCAGTAGTCTCCTAATCTCCAGAATCCTAGTACCAAGGTTGTTGATTGTAGATCAACTTAATATATCATTCACAATTTCACACTTTTCCCCATCTATCATGATGTTGCCTATTGATTGGCCTAGTGGTAAGGTCCTTTGTTTTGTTGCTGTTGAGATGTAATTCATATCAAAGGGTGTATTCTTTGATTTTCTGCAGCAAGCACTTCAGGTTCTGCTCACGTTAAGCAAGCAAGTTTGTGTCATCTGCATAAAGCGGGTTGTTGATTAGTCTTCCTCCAATCATGATGCCACATCTCTATTGATGACCTCAGGAATTATTTGCTCAGCATAAGACTAAAAAAATATATATGTAAAGAAATATTTTTAAAGTAAAAGATTTTGCAACTACAACAACATGTAAAAAAAGAAAAAAAAATTACCCCTGGCTTTTCCAGACTTAACTGTCAGCTCCAGCCTTGGGACTCAGGTCAGTGTGTGCCTGCAATCACAGATCAGAGAGAAGATCAGTGATGCACCTAGTTGTCAAATTTACCTTTCAGCCACTGTAGAGACACTTGGATAAGAGTTGATAGTACTGTATTCTTAACCTTTCCACTTTGGTAGTGTTTTTGTTGTGTTCCACAGTATTGGAACCAACCCATAGCTGATCTCTCGCGGTTTACAGAGGCATTTAATCACATGGGAGGACACTTCTCCCATGGAGCATCTGATGGACTCAAATATACTGCCTTCGAGATTGAAACATAGCTTCTGTCACTACACCATCAGAGTGATCAGATAGTGATGGACACCTGTATTTATCTCTGTAATGTTCACTCCTCACTCCATATAGAATCATCTCTTAACAACAGGTTGCTGGGTACAGAGCGGAGGGCCGATCCTCTCTGTGAGTTAGTAACTGGTTACATCTAGCTAGCCTGCTCACGAGAGACCAGATCTATGCTTTATGTAAATACTGTGAAATGTAAATATCATGTAAATGATCAATATACCATACCTTAAGTAAGTAAAAGAATAAAATTAACCTGGGTCCTTTATGATATATTTTATATCTTAAAAGAAATGGAAAAAGGAGAAAAATAAAAAATCTTTTCCCTGAGATTCATTTACTTTATGATACATATAAACAAACTTTCTGGTTTTAAGGAAATGTAGTTTCTAAGACACAAGAACTGAGCTAAGGAGAGATTGTAATAGTAGATCAAAGAAAAATAGATTATTTGAAAAGTTTTAATGAAATAGAGAAAGTTGAGATTGTTAACCTCAAAAGCCTTGAAGCCTTGATAGTTTGTCTTTTTCTGAGTGATATAGAAAGATTATATCTTTTTCAGTGTTTGATACATACCTATAAGACTTAATCATATGCATTTCACAAAAGGAGCATGATGGGTAAACACTTGTATATTTTTCTGTTCACTCTAGAATCCCAGTAATTAGATAATAAAGGAATATAAAGTTGTATTCATAACCATGTAACTAAAACTAAGTCTTTGCTCTATTTTTTAAAAGCCAAAATATATGGCAAAACTTCATGCCCTTGGACTAGGCAATGGTTTCCTGTATAATACACTAAAGCAAAAAGAAAAAAAGAGATAAATGGAATTTCATCAAAATTAAAGCTTTTGTGATGCAATAGATGCCATCAAGAAGGACTCTCTCCAGGATGAACCTATTTGTTCTCTTAGCAGTCCATCGTATATTCCATACTCTTGTCCAGCACCACAACTCAAAGGCATCAATTCTTCTTCTGTTTCTTAGTCATTTGTCAAACATTCTGATGCATAACACACAATTGTGAAGATCATGGCCTCGATCAAGCAGACCTTTGTTTGACATCATTGGTCTTCAGTACTCTAGAAAGGTCCCTGAGAGCAGATTTTCACAGTGCAATTTGTTTTTTAATTTCCTGGCTACTGGTACTGACAGTGTTGATTGTGGAGCCAACCAAGCTGAAGCTGTTAACAGTCTTAATCTCTTCATCATCCATGATGCTGTCAGTTGATTCATTGGTGAGAATCTGTTTTCTTGATGTTGAGCTTCAATCCATATAAAAAACTGTAGTCTTTGACCTTCTGAAGCAGATTCCTCAAGTCTTGCTCAGTTTCTCAAGCAAGATTGTATTATCTGTGTAATGCAGGTTGTTGATGAGTCTTCCTCCAATCTGGATGCCACCTTCCTCCTCATAAAGTCCAGACTCCTGGAGGAGCTGTTCTGCATATAGATAGAAAAGGTATGGAGACAGGATGCATCCTTGGTGCACTCCTTTCCTGATTTTGAACCATGCAGTGTTTCTTTGCTTTTTTTTTTTTGGACAACTGCTTCCTGGTCCATATACTTGGACCATGGTTTTGGTTTTGCATAAGCACAAAGAAGTGTTCTAGGATTCTCATTCTTCTCAGAGTTACCACAGTTTATTGTGACCCACACAGTCAAATGCCTCTGCGTAGTGAGTGAAACATGAATAGAAGACATTTCTCTGGTACTCTCTGCTTTCAGCTCTATCTAACTTTGGCTACAGTGTCCCTAGTGCTGAACCTAGTTCTAAATCTAGCATGCACATCTGGCACTTCTCTATTGATATGTTGTTCCAGTTGTTTTTGGATCATTTCAGCAGAATAATGATTGTATGTGATAGTAATGATACTGTTTAGTAATTTTCACACTCTGTCAGGTCACCTTTATTTTTGGAGTGGGAATAAATATGGATCTCTTCCAGTCAGTTGGCCAGGTGGTTGTCCTCCAGATTTCTTGGTACAACCTTGTGAGTACATTGTACATTGAAGGCATTGTGTTTGTTGAAATAGATCAGTTGGTATGCCATCAATTCCCGGGACCTTGTTTTTGCCCATTCCTTCAGAGCAGCTTAAACTTATTCCTTCATCACTACAGGCTCTTGATTGTATGCTGTTTTATGATATTCTTCTGTGTTAGCCGAAATATATATATATATTTTTTTTTTCACACACACATAGTATATATAACAATATATATATAATTACTTTGATCAAAGTAGGTTTGTTTCTTTTTAACTGATCTCAAACCAGGAAATAATGAAGATCTCCAGTCCTTGGAGATCATGCTTGGAAGGGTGGAGGGCACATGGGAGGAAGACCCTGGATGAGATGGATTGACATGATAACTGGGGCAATGGGAGTAGATGTGTTGGAGTCAGTGAGTCTGGCTCAGGATATGGCCAGGTTCAGAGCTATTGTACATAGGATCACTAAGAGTCACAGGTGACACAATGGCACATAACAACAATAACAACAACATTCAACTGGTTATATTTTCTGACTGAAAGAAAAATAGAAATAAATGATAAAGTGTTAGATAGCAAAATTTCAACTTGTAGAGAAACTCTGGCAGTAATTTAAAATAAAAATACTACCTATCCAAACCTATTCTATCTGAGCTAATATGGCCAAGGTAAAATTGGAAGTAAATTCATAGTTTGAACATAAATTTTTTAAATGGATTTTTATTTAAGATTTTAGAAAATGAACAATAGCAAAAAAATTTCATAGGAGAAAACAAGGTGGAAACTAAAATTATATCCATTTACTAATGTCTCTGAGTTTTTAAATTTATAAACTTTCTGATTTTCTAGTAACGTTTTTGGGGGTTTCTTGTGGGTTTGTCTTTTTAGGCCTTAAGCAAAGATAGTTTGATAATATCAACTCGCTTAAATTTGTTGGACCAAGAGTTGTCTGAGAAAAGTGTGAAACTCCAGAGCAGTACAGCTGAGGAGAAAATGGAGATTTCTGAGCAAGTTCAAGGCCTCCAGAAGGAAAAAGATGAGTTACAGAGACAAAGAAACAATGTGGATACGAAACTTAAAAATGGTAGAGTGTTGTCACCTGAAGTAAGTCATTATTCTTTGCAACTGGAAGTGCCATGTGATGCATCACTTGGGTGATTTCCTCAGTTTTGTCACATAAACATAGAAGTTATTGCCTTTTGTTTTGTTGAGACTTCTTGAAATGTAGTGAGTTCTCCTAGGACCTGTGTGGTACCAGTAAAACATGTCTGGCTCACATAAGGTCCCTGGACATGGTTCCTTCCTGCACTACAAGGTATTGAGGAACTGAAACGTTCCTTGACTATTGCTATTTTCAGCCAGATTTTCATTTTTTAAATTAAAAAAACACAGAAAATGATTGGAAGTACTATTTTCTTAATTTTTCCAATGATGGCACCTTACTTCTCCCTGTGAACATTCCTTAAATGGCACTCAGTAATTAATCACAGAGTGGATGCCTAGGAAATTAAGGGTTAATTCTTTCATGAATCCTTGATTGCAAAAGGCCCATTGTTCAAATACACGTACCACTCTGTGTCTTGCCAGTACATAGAATATTCAAATCCTGATAAATACATGTTATGTAAATATATTTTTCATTTAAGGGCATGTATAATTCCTCTCACCTTAAAAAAAAACTTTATAAAACATGGTACATTTATTGGCTACTGAATTGCCTCAGGGTGCCTTTTTTCAAAATTTTAATTCATTTGGCAACAATATCTGTGCCATAATATATCAGACAAAGGTGAATTTTAATGACTGAATTTTCTCTCCAAAAATTTTTTGTTTTTTTGTCTTGTCATTATAAAAAACAAGGGTGAATTTATAAGAGAAGGTGGTTAACTGGGAATCATATATTTTAATAAAACTTGTACTGCTTTAGATTGGAGCAAGTAAGAGAAGTAAAAAGAACAAGAGAAAGGACAGCATAAAATAAGATTATGCTCATTGAGTTGGTGAAACATACTGAAAATTAACTTGGTCCATTATCAAAGAACATTTACGCTTCTTTTTACATGGGATTGTTGTTGTTGTTGTTGTTGACTAACCTTGAGTCGAGCATAACCCATGAACAAAAGGCTTGGAACCTTTCTATAACATCATCATTTATCAAAGTTCATAGCGTTTCCAGAGGCATGTTGTTTAGGATGTGGATGCCACTACATGGAATTATCTTAAAAATTTTTTTTATAATTAGTGGTGAAATAGTTGTAACACCATGCCTGACACCTATTTTGTAGCCCTTCACCTTTCTTTGGTGGTCTAGTGGTAAGAAATTGCGCTGTAATCTCGAAGGCACATAGTTCAAATCTACCCACTGCTCCATGAGAGAAAGATGGGCAATCTCCTCCCATGTGATTAAACTGCCTTTGTAAACCTGCTGGGGGGTGAGCTATGGGTCGGTTCCAACTTGATGGTATACAACAATACTTTTCTTTGAAATGGGAACAAATCTGGGTCTTTTTCAGTTAGTTAACCAAGTCTTCCAAATTTCTTGTTCCCCAGTTCCTAGAGCTGTGTTTTTGCCAGTGACTTTAGGGCAGCATGGACTCCTTTCAGTACCATCTGTTCCTGATTATATACTACCTACCGCCAGAAATGGTTCAACAGCCACCCTTTCTTTTTACTACAATGACATATTTTTTTTCTTCCATCTTTTGGTATTCTGTGTTCAGTATTTTTCCCATAGAATCTTCTGGAGTTGCAGTTCAAAGCTTGGGTTTTTCCAAGTTTTTTTTCCCACTTAAGAAGAACATACCAAGCCTGTTCTCTTATTTATTAATTACAGACCTTTCCACATTTCATTATAATGCTTTGTGTCTTTGAGCAGCCCTTTGAAATCTTCTGTTTCAACTTCATAATTTCTTTCACTGACTTTCTTTTTTCTTTTATTTATGCATTGTTTTACATTTTCTCCCACTATTCTATCTCACCTCCCCTAGTCCATCCTGCAATGCACTCCTTGTTCCAGGTTGTTCTCATACATATTAATACTCATATTCATGTTGGACAGTTCTTTCAAACATCATCTGTTCTAACGCAGTGTTCATTATCTACCAACTATGTCCCTATTCCCCCCATGTTTGTACTATTTTATAACAGCACTGTTATGCAGTATTTGCCCTTTTTTGACTGAGACACTTCACTTAGAATAATGTCCTCAAGGCTCCTCCATGTTGTGTAATGTTTTACTATTTCATCGTTTTCCAGTGCTGCACAATATTCCATTGTGTGGATGTATCATAGCTTTTTCTGACCATTCATTTATTGATGGGCACTTGGGTTACTTCCATCTCTTTGCTATTGTGAATAAGTCAGCAATAATCATGGATGTGCATGTATCTGAGTTGTGGCTCTGATTTCTTTAGGGAATATTCCCAGTAGTGAAATATCTGGGTTAAATGGTATTTCTGTTTCCAACTTTTGAGAAAACGCCTTCCATGTGGTTGTACCATTTTACATTCTCACCAGCAGTGAATAAGAGTTCCAGTCTCTCCATAGTCTCGCCAGCATTTATTGTTTGCTGCCCTGTTGAACTTTGCTATTATAACTGGGGTGAGATGATATCTCATAGCTATTTTGATTTGCATATCTCTAATACCTAGGGATTTTGAACATTTCTTCATGTGTTTGTTTGCCATCTGAATGTCTTCTTTGGTAAAGTGTCTATTCATACCCGGTGCCCATTTTGTGATTGGGTTGTTTACCTTTTTCTTGTTGAGGTATAGTATTCTGTAGATTTTAGATATAAGTCCCTTATCAGATATGTCATTGCCAAATATTTTTTCCCAGTATGTGAGTTTCCTTCTTAATTCTGTTGGAGAAGTTTTTTGATGTGCATAGGGATCCACTGACTTTAGAAACTTTATAGTCAATGACATGCTTTCTTCATGGATGAAGAGGTTAACTTTGGCTCTCATGGATTTAGTTTTCTTCAGCTTTAGTTTGAACTTGCATATATGAGCAATTGATGATCTGTTCCACTGCCAACCTCTGGCCTTATTCTGACTAATAATGTTGAGCTTCTCCATTGTCTCATTCTAGATGTAGTACTGTGCATACCATCTGGTGAGGTTCATCACCATTCATGTCATTGAAAAAGATATTTTCAATGACCGAGTCACTGGTTTTACAGAGATTTATCATGTAATTTCCTGCACTGTTTCTATCACCAGGGCCATCTTTTCCAAGTGTTGTTGTTATTGTTATTGTTAGGTGCCGTTGAATTGTCTGCTACTCATAACGACCCTATGTACAACAGCCAACAGCCTTAAACCCTGCTTTATCCCTTGCCAATCTTATTGTCTCCAATAGACCTATCCCCATTATCCTAGTGATGGAATCAATTCATCTTATTGAGAGTCTTCCTCTCCTGTGCTGTCCCTCCACCCACTCTCTGAAGTTTGGCATCCCTCTCCAAGGACTGATCCTGCCTTGCAACATGTGCAAAGTATAAGAGAGAGAGAGAGAGAGGGAGAGAGAGAGTGTTAGAGAGAGAGAGAGAGAGAATTAGAGAATATAATGTTATGTTTGTTTTAATTTGGAATGCCTGTATATAATGACATTTCACTGACATGAAATCAGTTACATCAGCACTCATTGCTTTTTTAATGTCATACTCCTCTGATTGCAAGTTCTTAATCACTTGTTCTATTTCTTCTTTCCTTCCTAGCAGGGAAGGCTTTTAGACATCAGAGGAGGCTGGTCTCTGCAACACACCTTGGAAATACTGACATACCATATGAACTTTAGAAGGTATTGAAGGGAAATGTAACAATATGTGTGAGCTGAAGCTTTTTTCACACATATTTTTTGGATGAGATGAGTTTCAATGTTTGCTGTATGGCTGGCACATTTTAGAACTCAGCTAAGATCATCCATTTTACAGCAAAATATTTACTGCAAGATCCAGTGGGATTCTGTCTTTTACATATAAGCACTCATACATTCACACAGTACATTAGTATAGCATAGAAAGTAAGGAAAAAACATTATTTTCTTAAAATTGAGTAGAAGAGAGAATGCAACATCCATTAGACTTAAATAGCATAGGAAATCTGCATATATGACAAAATTCAAGTTATACTACTTCAGTTAAAACGTGTGATTTTTTTTCTATTGTATTACATCTAGGAAGAACATGTTCTTTTCCAGCTGGAAGAAGGAATTGAAGCTTTGGAAGCTGCGATTGACTACAAGAACGAAAGTATCAAGAGTCGTCAGAACTCACTCAGAGCTTCATTTGAAAACTTCTCTCATAGTGAAGCAAATGTCTTGGAAGAACTAGTTTGCCTGAATCCTGCTGAGATTCGAGCTGTTCTTTTCAGATATTTCAATAAGGTTTGTTTTGGACGAACAGATTTTCTTTAGAGATCAAGATGTTTTATGTGCCACATTTTGAATTTTGAGAGAAAATGACAAGGCTCCAAAGTTTGATGATGTCAGTAAAATTTAAGCATCATACATTCTCATGATAGAATTGAATATTGTCATTGGAAAGTTTTGTGGTTACATATCTATGTATGCCCAACTTTTGGGGGTTTTCTTTGTTTAAAATGATCTTTTATTATAGTTTTGTTGAAGGCTTACATAACAGTTTAATTTCATGATCAACAATTTCTACACAGATCATTCAGTTACATTCTTTACAGTATGTGCACATTCTCATTACGTCTATTCCAGGTGTTCCACGTCCACTAATCTAAGTTTTGGGGGATTCTTAAAGTTGGCTCTTAAAACGAGGACTTTTAAAAATACTTTTAAAAACCAAGAATTTAAGTTCTATTTCTGAGTCTCTATTTCTAGATATTTTCTTGATGTGTATGTTGCTTGTTAGCACTAATGAAATCATAGTCCCTTATTTTGGGTCTCTCTCCTTCATTGTGAGATAGAGCTACAGGGTAGGAGCACCTATACTTTTTCCTCATAACCTGTGAGTTGAAATATAAATGAAGTGGTACATCCACAGCAAAGATAATAACAGAGTTTTCTTTAATCTGAATGTGCTTAATATCAATTGTTATTTGATCCCAGTTTGAAAATGTACTAATCCACAGATGTTTCATAGCACTGAGAAAAATACTCATCTTTTCTCTATCATCATCTTTTCTTAAGAGAAATATTATGAAGAGTTAAGCAATTTCCTTCTGGAAAGTATATTCCATTTACAGAAATACCAGACAATCTATGAAAATGAGAAAGTGAGGTTTCTGTTAAGTGAGTAAAATAAATATAAAAATTTAATGAAAATGTTATACACAGAGCTCCAGATCTGTTGTTCAGTGTCACTATGAACAGTACTCGACTCAAAGGCACCTAAAAAGAATCACTTTAGTAAAGTACTATCCTCAGTATTGATAGAAAATCATTCTTTGTGGTACTCATATTTTTTACATTTTATTATTATTGTGTGTGTGTGTGTGGGTGGGTGTGTACTGTCAAATCAGGTCTGACTGGTACAGGAGGAGATTGTCCCTCCTTCTCCAGCAGAGCATCTCGTGGATTAGAACTGTGCACCTCTGGGATTACAGTGCTAAATTTTTAAAATATTGTTTTAAATTGTTATACTAATTTAGTTTCAAAATTCAAATACATTGTTTTCCAGAACAGATTCTTCCCATTACTCTTTTAAATGATTCAATTAACTATTCAGAATCCCAGCAAATTCAAAAGGCTGTTACTTTGTTGAGATGGTACAGAGAGCATTTCTTTGGACCCTAGGCTGGTAATCACTAATGCTGTGGTAATTATGGAAGTTTGTATGTGGCCATCAGGCTATTGAAGACATATTTTAAAAGATTAAAAATGTATTTGCTAGGTGGTTAGTTTGCGGGAAGTTGAACGAAAACTACAGTTACAGAACAAAGAAATGAAAATTAAAGTTGTGGAACAGGATAATGTGGTTCGTGAGCTGGAGTCTACACTGGAGCATCTCAGACTGCAGTGTGACCGGAGGCTGACCCTCCAGCAGAGGGAGCACGAGCAGAAGATGCAGCTGCTGCTCCATCATTTTAAAGGTAACTCGCATTTAGTCTGTTATGTAAAGGCAATGTGTAGAGGGGATACTGAGGAGGGACGATATGATCATCCAAAACATTAGAGTGTATAATATACATGAAGAAGCTTGGGGGCCGTAGTATGTAAGGTGTGGGGCTACTAACTGGAAGATTGGTGGTTTGAATCTACAAGCTGCTCTGACGGAGAAAGATGGGAAATAGTTAACTGTGAAATTTTACAGTCTTGGAGACACAATGGATGTCACTATAAATCAGAATAGATTTCATGGCAGTGGAATGAGTATGGAAACATAAAACATGAAGTTGTTTTATATGTTTTTGTTACCACCCTCTCAGCTGCTTCTCATGCCAGGTGTCTTTGTGCTCAAAGCACTGTTTTGGTTGCCCCAACACACATATGACAACATGCCTGAGGGTCAGCTCTGAGTTGGCTCTGACTAGACAGCACATAAAACAACACACAGATAGAAATTGCTAGAGTCTGAGTTAGCCTATCTTACTGCATTGATTTTCATATGGAAACAAGGAGGGTGGGGTTTTGCCCTTCAGTTAATGTACAGTGGAAATTTTCCTATTTCCTAGAGATATATACGGCTGTAAAATTGGAACTGATTTATAGCTGACCCTTTACTGGGTTGCTGAGGCTGTGAACTGCATGGGAGAAGATTGCTTATCTTACCCTTCGAGCCAGTGGCAGGTTTTTTTCTGGAGTTCAGTGTACAGTGGAATTTCTTCTCTCTTCTAAAAATATAGTTATTGTAGTATTTAAATTATTTTCTATTTGCAAAATTAATGGTTTCTGTGAAAGTCTTAGCTTACTATCCTTGTTATAAAAATTATAACAAATCTTGTTTTATCTTGTTGATGACAAATCTCATGGATAAAATTATTCTAGACCAAAATTAGTGTATTCTTGATTGGCACCTATTGTGGTTAAATCATCAACCCTGATATGGAATGAGAGCCATCTTAACAATCTACCAGGCCATATGGTCAGTACATGAACAGTTGCATTAGCAACAAAATCTTTGACAGGTGATTTTGTCCCTAGAAGAAACCTAAACATCGCACCAAACAACAAAAAGCCAAAACAAAAGGAAGAAATGTCAAAGTAAAGAAGATGAACTGGATTTCCAAGGGAAGCTCAAGAAGACAAAGCAAAATATCACAATAACATGCTAGAGTCAGAATACAAAAAGGGAAGAACAGGCCTGTATGATAAGCAATAATACCAATGAGGTTCTTACTTCTTACAACAATCAACCATATAAGATCAAAAGGGAAGCAATTGTTGAGGGAAGAAGCTCAAAAAGTAAAAAAGGATAGGGCACTGGACTAATGGAAGAAAGAATCACTGGGAGGGAGCAGGAAAGTGGAGTTACAAGGTGAGTGTTTACATTACTGTCAGATAACAAAGGTGCATGAATGGCTGAATGGAAAACCTTTTTAACATTCACTTTAATCACAACTAAAAAAGACAAATTAACATTTTGTGAAGTTTATAATTAAAGGGGATATACTAGATAAAATTAAGTTTATTTTTATAGTTTAAGGGAATTCTGAATTATTGTCATTAATTTTAACTATATTTTAAAAATAAGATTATTTTTAAGTATATGTAAATTCTGCACAACAATCAGTTACAACAGAATTATAAGCCAGTAGTGCCATTTTATAAATGTGCCAATAGGAGAGGGTTGTTCTGAAGATACATATTTTTTAAATTAAGTTTTTATCTTATATTGGTTTGCTTACAGAGTTTGTACACATTGTGTTTCATACTATCTTCCCTCATTCACATGGTATTTCATACAATCATTCTCATTATGTTTTATAAAATTAGAACTATGCCCATCATTTCCCTGTTTTGCCTGATCCCCACCGGATCTTTCTCATTTCCTTTACCCACCCCCACCTTCCATCCACCAAATTGTGCAGCTTTGTGATTTTGCCACTACCCATCCTCACCCCGCTGATCCCATTCTCCTTGCCTGGAATCCTTATCAGGTTTTACTAGTTATATATTTCTACAATAAGGTCTTATGCAGTATTTGTCCTTATGAGACCAAGTTAGTTCACTTAGCATAATGTTCTCCAGTCCCTCCCAAGTTATGTAATAATTTTCTAAATCATTGCTCCTAAGTACTATGCAGTATTTTTGAGTGAACTTTTACAAATTATAGTGGTTTCATTCAATCATTCACACAAATTTTGTTTTATAACATTGATTACAATTGATTAATTAATTAAACTGTCTCACCAAGCTCTTATTTTCTAAAGGTCAGTAAATTGGTGTCTACTGGTTCTAGAACAAAAATGCTGAAAATTTTAAATATTAATATATAATTAAAAGTTTGATGTTATATTGTGGTATAAACCAGACATTCATTTATGCTCCTTATTTTCCCTCTTATTTCTATTGTTTCCCTTTACAATTTAGTCTGTTCTTTTAAATTTTATTTACTTTTAAGAATATACACAACATAACATGTAGCAGTGAAAGTTGTAAATGTACATATTTATGGCATTGAGTTCTTTGAGGTGTATAACCATTATCACTATTTTTTTAGTTATTTTCACCTTAGTAATAAAAATTCAGTCTCCTAAGACGCCTTTCAATTTGTTGTTGTCAATTTGACTCCATTTTTAAAAAAAATAGTAGAATGTCAGGCAGACTTTTTTTTTAAACTGTTATGTGCCATTAAGTTGTCTATGACTCCTTGCAAGCTTGTGAACAGCTGAGCTGAACCTTGCCCTGTCCCACACCATCCTCATGATAATCTTATGCTCAAGTACACTGTGTAGTCACAGTGTCGATCAGACTGGCTCAGTCTGTGCTGTCTTTTTGTTTATTGGTTTGCATACAAAGGTTGTATACATTATGTTTCACATCATCCTTCATTCACATTGTTTCCTACAATTATTCTCATTCATTGTGTTTTATAAAATTAATCACCATTGGACTATGCCCACCATTACCTTTTTTTTTTAAATAAAATTACTCACTTCCTGATAAACATTGTTGTCAACTCAGCATTGACTCATAGCTGAACTGTATGCCCTTAGGTTAGCAATGTATCTTCTTACCCACTAGGCCTATTAGAAGATGACATCGGGATATTTTTGGTTTAAGTTCAATGATTATTTCAGGGCAAAAGAAAAGAAGATTCATCCTGTCTCTGGCTCCAGAAAGCCCACAGTCATAAGCATTTGAAATTCTATTCTGTAATTTCCTCCGTTTGAGTAGGATTTTTCTATGGAATCTTTGACCAGAAATCTTTGATTCTGAAACTTTCCTCTTTTGATCAGGATTCATCTATGGAGACTTTGAACAAAATGACACTACCCAGTTCTGATCTTATAACAGAAAAGACAGTTCTTAATAAAGGGAGTTAACCACACATTCCATATATATTCCATATTCCACTCCTGTTCCTGACACTCCTGCCTTTGCTGTTGTATACCAACAGTTGTGGATTGGATGGCAATTTGCAGCTTTTGAGATCCCAAGCACTATGAATTAAGAGGCAGAACAGAAGCACCAAACACATGATTAAACCAACTAACTAGTATGAATCATGAAACCATGATCCGAAGCAGACCTTCAAACCAAGGAACCAAAATCCCTTGAGATGTTTACTTGTACATAGTCTTAGTAACTACTTTTTTGTTGTTGCAGTAAATATATCTATTATTGTTGTTGTTGTTGTTAAGTGCAGTCGAGTCGTTTACGACTCATAGCAACCCTATGTACAACAGCCCTAAACCCTGCTCTATCCTGTGCCAGTCACATTGCCTCTGACACACCCATCCCGATTACCCCAGTCACTGAATCAATCCACCTCATAGAGGGTCTTCCCTCCTGCACTGTCCTACCAAGCATGATGTCCCTCTCCAAGGACTTGTCTCTCCTGGCAACATGTCCAAAGTATGTCAGACGAAGCCCCAGAATCCTTGCCTCCAAGGATTAGCCTGATTTAACCCTCTGCAGGATGAATCTGTTTGTTTTCTTGGCAATCCAGGGTACATTCAATACTCTTCTCCAGCACCACAACTCAAAGGCATCAATTCTCCTTCTATCCTCCCTAGTCATTGTCCAACTCTCTGATGCATAACAAGTGATTGCAAAGACTATGGCCTGTATCAGGCGCACCTTAGTCTCCAGAGAGACACTGTTGCTCTTGAGTACTTTAGAGAGGTCCCTAACAGCAGACTTTCCCATCGTGATACGTTTTTTGATTTCCTGGCTGCTGGTGCCAAGAGTGTTGACCGTGGAGCCAAGCAAACTGAAGCTGTGAACAATCTCAATCTCTTCACCATCCATCCTGATGCTGCCAATTGGTCCAGTGGTGAGAATCTTTGTCTTCTTGACATTGAGCCTCAGTCCATACTGAAGGCTGCAAGTGCATGAGGTCCTCCTCAGTTTCAGCAAGCAATGTTGTGTCATTTGCATAACGCAGATTGTTAATAGATCTTCCAACAATCCTGACTCCACACTTCTCCTCATAGAGCCCAGCCTCTTGGATAATCTGCTCTGCATACAGGCTGAAAAGGTATGGAGATAGGACACATCCCTGGCGTACACCCTTCTCAATTTTGAACCATGCAGTGTTGCCCTGCTCTGTTCTGACGACTGCATCTTGGTCCAAGTAAAGGTTTCGCATTAGCACGATTAAATGTTCTGGGATTCCCATTCTTCTCAGAGTCAGCCACAGTTTGTTATGATCCACACAGTCAAACGCCTTTAACTTTTATCAATTCATTATTTTATAGGTATACAACTTATTAACAGCAATTATAGTAATCAGCTATGCAAGCCTTCCCTTCCTCAATCAATGCAATTTCCCCATCACTAACCTCCCCTTTCTACCACCTATGGTAACCATAAAGAAGGAAAGAAGGTTATGTCCTTTTTTCCATATATGACTAATTAATTTCACTCATCAGAATGCCTTTAAGGTCCATCCACACTATAGCATGCATCAAGATTTAATTTTTGCTGCTGGGCACTGAGTATTCTAGTTTATGTCTGTATTAAATTTTGTTTATCTGTTAATCTATTTAAAGGCATTAGGCTGTTTTTACCAGTCAGTATTCTTTACAGCACAATAGTCAAAAGTTAGAAACAGTCTAAATTTGTGAATTTTTAATAGAAAACACTTCACTTCTGCTGCTCTAGGAAGCTGGCAGCCTAGTTTGTAGGGAGTTGTGCTACTAAACCCAAAGGTTTAAACCAACTCTCTTGTGGCTTGAGGAAGAAAGATAGGCAGTCTCCTCTCTGATTCATGGCCTCTGAAGCTCACTGGAGGGTCAGCTATGAGTTTTCTCTGACTCAGAGGCAGTGAGTGAGTGAGTCTGATGTGTACTGATAAATCTCACTGCAAAACAGTGCTTATAAATTACAAGAACATGGAGGCCAACAGAGGACAAGAGGAAGAAGGCAAAAGCCTCACTATCTGGAAAAATTTTGAGGCAGAATTTTCAAAATTATAGCTACAAACAAATCCATTCAGGCAGTGAATAACAGATTTAAGATGTGAATAACATATTTCTAATACTTTAATATCATTTGGATGCCATATTAAAAACATTTTTAGTCATTTCATTAAAAGAAATGTAAATTTATGTTTTTTAGAGCCAGATGGAGAAGGAATTGTGGAAACTTTAAAGAGCTATGAAGACAGAGTCCAGCAGCTAGAAAAAGATCTTTATTTCTATAAGAAAACCAGCAGGGATCTTAAGAAGAAACTGAAGGACCTGATAGGGGAGGCCGTTCGGCAGCAGCTGGAACCCTCAGAACGTAAGACACTAAGCACGGTTCAACATGCAGACTTGTTTCTCTGTAATGGGGGGAACCCTTCTCTGCAGTGGGGGGAACCCTTCTCTGCAGTGGGGAGAACCCTTCTCTGCAATAGGGGGAGCCCTTCTCTGCAGTGGGGGGAGCCCTTCTCTGCAGTGAAGGAAGTCCTGTCTGACTTGCAGTGCAGCCTTTCTCAATGGATTGGGATTTTTAAATTCCAATTTTTGTAGGTCCTTCTCTGTAAACAAACATAGTTGCCCGGTATAGTAGGCTCTCAGTGGTGTAAATAGATAAGCTTTCAACTGTCAACTGATATTTTAATGCTTGGAATCTGTCCAGAGTGCCTCGAAAGAAAGACCTTGTAATCTGCTCCCCAAAGGTCACTACCATTGAAAACCCTCTGCATGATTCTACTCTGAAACACATGGAGCTCCATGAGTCAGAAGAGACTAAAAGGCAACTGGTTACTGGTTAGTCTGTATACGATGGAGCCCTGGTGGCACAGTTATTTAAGCACTTCACTGCTAACTGTTCAGCAGTTATAATCCAACAGCTGCTTCAGTGGAGAAAGCTGTGGTGGTCTACTTCTGTAAAGATTTAGAGTTTTGCAAACACTGTTGTTGTGGTGTACCATTAAGTACGAACTGACCCATAGCTGACCATTCAGCGGGTTTTCATAGGCATTTAATCACATTGCCCATCATTCTCCCACGGAACAGCTGGTGGACTTGAACTGCATGCCTTCAGGATTGCAGCACAGCTTCTTGCCACTAGGCCACCAAAGTTGAGCAGTTTTTACACAGATGATACAACATTGCTTGCACAAAATGAAGAAAACCTAAAGCACTTGCTGCACAAGTATCAATAGGTAAAATCATGATAGATGGAGAAAAGAATAAAGTTATCAGTGATTTCATTTTACTTGGATTCATAATCAAAAGTTGTGTAGCAGCACTCAAGAAATCAAAAGACTTGCTGCATTGGGGAAATCTGTCAAGGACTTCTACAAAATACTAAAGAAGAAGGATGTAAGTTTAAAGACCAAGGTGCACCTGACCCAAGCCATGGTATTGCTAACTGCTTCCTATACATAGGGTCACTATGAGTTGCAAGTGACTCCACAACACATAAAAACAAGGAAAACATACATGTAGAAGTTGAATAATGAATAAGGTAGATCAAAGAAGAATTGATTCCTTTGAATTTTGATGTTGGTGAAGAGTATTGAATATGCCATGGTCTTCTAAGAGAACAAACAAATCTGTTCTGAAGGACATGCAGCCAAGATCCTCCTTAGGGGAAAGGGTGATGAAACTTACCTCCCATAATTTGGGCATATTTCAGAAGGTACCAATTCTTGGAGAGAGACATCATGCTGGGAAAGGTGAAGGGTCAACAAAAGAGAGGAAGACCCTCAACAAGATACAGTGACTGCCACAGTGGGCTTGAGCAGAACTGAGAAGGTGAGGATGGTAAAGCTCAGACCTCTCTCTATGAGTCATCGTGGACTTGACCGCAACTAACTCCAACAACAAGGAGCAGTTTACTCTGTCCTACAGGATTGCTGAGTTAGAAATGACTTGATGATAACACTTCAGGTTTTAATTTTTAATGTATATATGACAAAATCACATGAGAAGTGAAAGTTCATAGGTGAAGCAAATATGTATGTGCAAAAGGACACAGTCATTTGTTGACTGCCCACCCCATATCAAGTGTTTTTGCATTCCTTAATGTACTAAATCCTTGAAAAACTTTTATAATATTTTCCTGTTTTATAGTAAAATATGCCTTATTATTATCAAACAAAAGAGGTGAAGTAAAGAATAAAAAAGTAAAATAACATTATATTTATTTCCCAATTTATTTTCATATTATGACAACTGTGAATTAAAAATATCATAAAGTCCCTTGTTGTGACAAAAAAAGTTTTATTCATACATAACTATGTAGAAATAACAATTCTTAAATGACAAAATACTTTGCAAAACTAAAAAGTTCCTTGAAGATAATGTATTGCATATAGTTAAAACATAACCTCTTTGGCTATATTATGTATCCTACTTATTATGTGTAGTATTTATCCTGTATTTCAGTAAAGAAACAGGCTTCCTTTGAGGAAGACTATTCCTTTAAATAACTATTGTTGACTTTATAACTTTTATGGGTTTTTATTTTTTATTTGAGTGAAGACTTACAAATCATGCTGCTTAAAAAAAAACAAAAAAAACACAACAAACAGATCATGCTGCTTTTTTAAACCAGTTATAGGCATTTTGACCTTATAACATTAATCAACATTGCTTAGCATAAATAATTACAATGTCTGATGAACCCCATATTGTGTATTGCCTTTATTTTCACCCAATTTATGTACTCATTACTCTTATTACCCCCCATAACCTCCCTTCTCATGCCTCTTAACCTTCCAAAATGGACTCTTGTAAACCTCTCTTTTTAGCTTTTTTATAATGGTGGTCTTATACTATTATTTTTAAATTGATAAATTCTATCAAATATTTAAAGAAGAAACAATACCAATCCTATATGGACTTTTTCAGGGAAGATAAAGGCAGAAACACTTGTTTTTCTTATAAGGCCAATATTACACTGTCACAGAAAAACATTACAAGGAAACTACAAATCAGTACCCCTCATGAACCTAAATAGAAAGATGTTAACTAAATGTTTAGCAAGTCAAATCTAAAAGTATAGGAAAAGGAGTATTATACCATGATAGATTTGATTTTCAAATATTAAACAAATCTTGTAACCCTGGAATAAAGTCCATGTAATTGGCTTAACATTTGAAAAGAAATTGATATTCTCTACATTGTTGTTAGCTTTTATTCACTCCTAGTTACTCTGTTCACCAGAGAACAAACTTCTGCTCAATGCTGCATCATCCCATGATTTAGATCAGACCATGGGGATCCACAGGGTTTCAGTGACTGGTCTTCCTTCCTAGCCCATTTTAGTGTGACAGCTTTGCTGAGATCTCTGTATCAAGGTCTTCAACACTATGGATGATGGTGTGGATGCAGTTCCTTGGCTGGAAATCAACACAGGTGTCCTTCCTTGCTTGTTAAAACAAAAATGATTTGAAACATTCACTGTTGAAGGTCAAAACTGTGGCGTTCATTATTAAAACAAAAATATCACAACTGAACCAGTAAATACCATGATAAAACAGTGGGGTGGGAAAGCTCCTCAGACATGAGAATCGCTTCTGACCTTTTAGTGCCATACAGTTAACATACTTTATGTATTTTTGTATCCTGGTCAGTTTCTGAATGAGGACCCTCAGACATGGATTTTGGTTTATTGTCTGTAGTCACTGGCTCTTAGTGTAAAGAGATCCCTTCAGGATTTCTTGTAGAATTGGTGTCGTTTTCACAAGTTTCCATTTATCTTCAAATGTCTTCATTTCACCTTCTTATTTGATGGACAGTTTTGTTGGATAAACTAATCCTGGTTGACAAGTTTTGGGTTTTTTTTTTCTTTCACTGTTTTATATAGCATCCCATTGTCTGACTTGTATGGTTTCTACTGAGAAACTGGAGCTTAATCTTACTGGTTCTCCTTAGGTGACTGCTCATATATTTCCCAAGCTGCTTTTAGTATTCTTTCTTAGGAAAAGTTGATTATGATAGAGCATAGTGTTTTTCTATTTGGGGTTTGCTTAACTTCTTGAACACAGGTTTTCTCATTTTTTAATAGTTTGGGAAACTTTCAAGCAGTAAATCTTAAAAAAATCTTTCGTGCTTTTAAAAAATCTCTTCCTGTTATGGGATTTCAAATAACTCACATGTGAGTTATTTCTCTTGATGTTTTCTCATGTACTTCCTAGGCTTTCTTCATATTGTTTCCTTCTTTTTTCTTTTTTTTTTTTTTTTTT